CATTGCTAGTGTGTAGAAATAGTTGATTTAAATATATTGATCTTGTATCCTGTACCCATTTATTAGTTCTAATTGTTTCTTATGATTTTCTGTTTACAAGGTCATCTAGTCTGTAAATAGATAGTTTTACTCTTCCTTTCCAATCTAGATAGTTTTGTTTTCTTGCCTAATTGCCCTAGCTAGAACCTCCAGCACAATGTTAAATAGAAGTCAAGCGTATGGCTATTGTTTGAAAAGATGTCAATTTTTCTCATGACAATTTCTCTTATAATTCCAAAAAGAATTACAGCTCATGTGGATGAATACACAGGTAAGAGCAGCTATAAAAAGAGAAACGAGTGAAGATTTTCCCTTCTGCTATAGTAAAGCATTTAAAAGGCAACAATAATTAAAATGGAATAGCACTGACAGAAAGATATAAATCTCAGTGGATTAGAGTAAAATGTTCAGACTCTGTATATATAAGAACAAGAAAACCAATGGCAAAGTGACAGGGTTTTTTAGTAAGTATTGGGGAACTTGGGTAGCTGCTGGGGGAGACAGAGTTAGATTTTCACCTCAAGTCATTCATCAAAATAGTTTCTAGAAGAAATTAAAGAGAATGAAAGAACAAAGAAAAAGCCAAACAATTTAAAAACTAGAAAAAATATGAACGGACATTATTGGACCTATGAGTGTGGAAGAACTTAAGCTTGAAATATTAGAAGAAATTAAAGGATTTGACTCCATAATGTATGTAAAAAGATATTTGCAATAAAAAAAAGTCAAATTATTATTATTACTAACATAGACAGGGTTAATATAAATTAGTAAGTTAAGGCTTCAAAGAAAAATAGGCATAGAAAAGAGACAATTCAAAAATAAACTTATTAAAAGGGGAAATACAGATGACTAATAACTGAAAAAATGTTCAGTCTCACTGGCAATCAAAGAACTAACTGCAAGGGGAACAAGGAGGTACTACCTTTTGCTTTCAGCAAAGATTTCTAAGATGTTATTCATCATTGCTTAGGGTATGTTGAGATAGCTCTCATACTAATCTTATGAATTATTAGATATATTATTAGGCCCATTTGATAATGTGGAGACTGAGATTCTGGGGTTCAGTATTTTGCCCAAGCTTATACTGCCAGTAAGCAGTGGCACCAGGATTTAAACCCAGGCTGTGTGACTCTGTTATAGTAAAGGCCCTTTAAAATAGATGTGGGAGGGAGAGGTTAAGGACAGGGGGAAATATAACTTGCAGAGCCGGGCAAATGCATTTTATAGTGCCTGTGTGGAAGGGTTATGATATTGTACAGGGAAGCAATGAGTGGAAATTACATAAAAGAACCACTTTTTCAAAGCCAGAACTGTCCCGAATGGACTAGAGAGGCCCAGGAAGGTCGAGACCACTCCCAGCCATGGGGGAGAAGAGGAAGCAAGAGGGTTCTCTCTTTAACCCTCACATCAGACTGCAGTGGGTGGGGTGAATGGTCTCATCTCCTAGAGCAGAAAACACCTCTTGGTGGCCAAGACATCAATGTTTTCAGAGTTTCTGCTCTTTTCTTAACTGCAAACAGCTCGTAGAGCCCACCCTTTCTCTTAGGGCCAAGTGGCCTGCAGTGGAGACCTTCCTGACTTCACTGCCCTCTTGCAGCTGCAATCCCGGGCCAGCAGGAAGCCTGAGCTTGCCAAATTATGAGGGCCAGGGCAGGAGGAAGGAGGGAGTAGCCCATCTTTGTTCTCTTTTGCCCTTTCCTGGAGCCTTACTACTCCATGGGGGAGGGGAAGGCAAGTGGGTGGGCGGAGCCGGTCCTGTCCTGTAGGAGAGCTAAGAAAACACAAGAAAGGGAACCATTAAAGGACAAGACAAGACAAGCGTATGCTAGTCATGGCTTGGCAAAGATACCTTCATTTGCAAAGCCCCTGGGGAGTTCATTCTTAAAGTGGGGCTTCATCCTGACTCTGTAACCTTGGGTAAGCCTGTTCAACCTTTTTTATACCTCAATTTCTTCATCTGTAAAATGGGTATGTCAACAGTTCCTGCTTTATTGACTTCAAATCATGTAGTGGCTTAGACGACCAACAAACTAAGCCAGTGTGAGGGCAGAGTACCACAGGCAGTAGAGTCACTTGGACTTGGGCTCAGGTACAGTCTGCAATTTTCTGGTTACAAACTTGGGGAAAATCATCCAAGCTTTTGCTGCTTTAGCTTCTTCATTCATGAAGATGTAGTAGCAATCTGTTGTTGCTGTTTAGTCGCCAAGTCGTAGCCGACTCTTTGCAACCCCATGGGTTGTGGCCCGCCATTCTCCTCCGTGGGATTTCCCAGGCAAGAATACTGGAGTAGGTCACCATGACCTCCTCCAGGGGATTTTTCCAACACAGCGATTGAACCCACATCTCCTAAATTGCAGTTGGAGTCTTTGCTGCTGAGACGCCTAGGAAGCCCAAAGGTAGCAACAGCATCTGCCTTAAAGGGTTGTCTTCAAGTGTAAATGAAAAAGTACACATAAAGTAAATGGTAGAACAAGGACTCCAGAGTGCCCAGGTTTAACCATTACACTATAATTCCCTCACAACCGTAATGCATATAAAACAACAACATATACTGTCAAGACTGGAAAGAAGTTCAACAAATTGTTAACAGTGCCTATTTCTGAACAGTGAGATCCTAATCTATTTTTTATTTCCTTCTTTATATTTTCCTAATAAATTTTATAATCAGAAAGAAGCTGTATATAATGTTCAGATGCTTTGAGATCATTTGTGATGGTCTCTATCATGTAATCTTCTCAGCAACTGCTTAAAGTAGGAATCATTATCCTCATTTTGTAGATCAGGAAACAAGGCTAGAGAGGTTAGAGAGCTGGCTTAACCTTCAGGTCTTACTGTTGTTAAGTGGCAGAGAGCCACAATCCATAGGCAGATGTGACTGTCTCCAAAGCATCCATAGGGATACTGGGCTGTGGGGCTCAGAGTGTACTCCTTCACCCCATTTTGATCATAGTTGAGGTGGAAGGATTGAGCTTTGGTGAATAATATGCTCCCATGGTTCTCATGTAGCTGGTATACAACCATATTCCTGGTAGAGGACATGGCCTGGAAAAGTGGGGATTCTGGCATCCTTCTTTCACAGGATAAAACATCAGAAGTACTGTGGAGTCTCCCCAAGAAGAAGTAAAGGTTTCCGCTATCAAAGTCTGCAATGCAGGAGACCTGGGTTCAATCGCTGATCGCCTGGGAAGATCCCTTGGAGAAGGAAATGGCAACCCACCCCAGTATTCTTGCTTGGAAAATCCCATGGACAGAGGAGCCTAGTGGGCTACAGTCCATGAGGTCGCAAAGAGTCAGACACAACTGAGTGACTTTCACTTCACTTCACTATCAAAGTATCCAATAGAGGAACAACAACAACAGCAAAAGCATAACTATAACACATAAGATTGAGAGAGAAAAGTGGGCAGAAGCTAAATCATTATCTATCATAGCAGGAAGACAATAGATAGTGACGGTCCTGATAAATCTAGATATAACCATGTAAGCATGTAGATGGGGAGGTAACCACCAGGCCCAAAATTAACCCTGGAATGAGGGGTGGGAAGGAAATTTTTTGCTTTTCATCATAAGCCTTTTTGTCCTATTTGATTTTTTTTTAAGCTCTGTGTTTCATATATATTTTTAAAGATACGATTTTTAATACAGGCTCTGAAACTAAAACAACAAAAACGACTTTGGGGTCATCTGTGTGGATTCACATCCCACTTCTTCCAGTTACGAATCATGGCAGGTTAACCTCTCTAAGCTGCAATTCTATCTTCCCAAAGATAAGGATAAAAACCAAACTCATCCCACAGGGCTGCTTTGGGGACAGAATGAGGTAACGCATGTAAAACATATGGGCGAGCATTGGCCGAAATCCAGCATCTGCAATTATTAACCACTGTTGTCATTAGCAATAATAAACCAAGCCTGCAAGTAATACCAAGGGCTTTGCACAGAGTAGGCACTTAATGGATATAAGTAATTGTTTAAAACCTCCACCAGCGCCTATAATTTTCCCCAACTCGGGACGCATGAGCCCCAGCGGTCCGAGTGAACACTTAAATATTGATGTGGTTAGTCATGTATTCATCTCTGCTCTCCGCCGCAGTGTTCGCTGAGGGCGAGCTCCTTGGACTCCCTCGCCGGGTTCTGGCTGCATACTTGGTCCCTCCCGCTCGTAGAAGTGGGAGACAGCGGCAGCTCACCCGCTTTCGGGTCGCTGATCCAGGACCATCACGCGGCGCAGCGTGAATCGCCTCTGGTTTCACGCGGGGAACTTCCCCGGCAGGGGCAGCTGGAGGAGAGACCAAGGGGGCAGCCTGGGTCCGCATCGCTCCCACTTGCCGGCGCCAAGGGGATGGCCATCCAGGGGAGGGGCGGGGCGGGGCAGTTTTAGGACGAGGGCTTTCTGGAGCAGGGACGTCTTGAAGGAAGACTTGGGATTGGCCGGGAGGCGCGGAGCGGGCATTTCAGACCCGGCCGCGAGTGCGGCGCGGCCCCCCGGCGAGGCAGTGTTTCCCGGGCGCCCCCAGTTGGGGGCGGTACAGACGCGGGAGCCCCGCCCCCTCCTCTGCGGAGGCCGCGCGCCCCGCCCACGGCCCGCGCGGCACCCGGCTGACCTCTAGCTCCCGGTTGGTCTGCTGAGGCCGCGGCGAGGGCGTGGCGGCCACCGTCCCCTGGCTCTGCCGCACCGTCGCGCGGGTCCGGGTCCCGGTCGCTAGTCGCGGGTCGCCGGCCGCGGGGCGGGGCGGGAGGCGGGGCGCTGACGTCGCGGCGCGGCCGGCGGCCGGGGAGGCGGGGAGGCGGCGGCCGGCTCGGCACAGCCCGGCCCGGCCCGGCCCAACCCGCAGCTGCGGCGGCGCTCCGAGCCGGCTCCTGACCACCCTCCGCCGCTGTCCAGTTTCTTACTTGGTCTAAGTGTCTGCGGTCCTGGTTCGGCCAGGCCTCCCTCGCCCGCCGCCGCTTCCCCCGCCATGGCCCTGGTGCGGGGTACCGAGCCGGCGGCGGGGCCCTCCCGCTGGCTACCCACGCACGTCCAGGTGACGGTGCTGCGGGCCCGCGGGCTGCGGGGCAAGAGCTCGGGCGCGGGCAGCACCAGCGACGCGTACACGGTGATCCAGGTGGGCCGCGAGAAGTACAGCACGTCGGTGGTGGAGAAGACGCCGGGATGTCCCGAGTGGCGCGAGGAGTGCTCCTTCGAGCTGCCGCCCGGAGCCCTGGACGGCCTGCTACGGGCGCAGGAGGCCGATGCGGGCCCGGCGCCCTGGGCCGCGGGCTCAGCCGCCGCCTGCCAGCTGGTGCTCACCACCATGCACCGTTCGCTCATCGGCGTCGACAAATTCCTGGGCCAGGCCACGGTGGCGCTGGATGAGGTCTTCGGCGCAGGCCGCGCCCAGCACACTCAGTGAGTGCGGGGCGCCGGGGAGCGGAAACGGTTAAAGGCCTCGCGGGGCGGGGCTGGGGGACGCAGGACCCCACACCTTGGCCGGGGCGGTGCGCCGTTTTGCCTGGCGCTCAAGGGCGTAAACCGACAAGTTGGTTCTTCACATATAGGGTCTCCTTTCGGCCCCCAAGTGTGCTCTGGGCTGTGTTTGGCAGCTGGCAGATCCTTGGGAGGCCTGGGGGGTTGAGAATAGTGGTCTACTGTTAGGAGTAGATTGTCAAGTAAAGTTAGGAGTAGGATCCAGAGACTCTTGGGATGTGGGAACCTCAAGAAGGAAAATCTGGGGGCTATTCCTAGGGCCACTGGGCCTGCCCCACTTTCTTCGAAGGGGAGGGTAACTGCCTGCGGACGCCTGTTCCACGCCAGGCCCGCAGGGAACTGGAGAGGCACTGCCTCGCCCTGTGAGAGGAGGAAGGTTCAGGGTTGGCCTCGAGGAGGGCAGCGATTGAACGGAGGCACCACACCAGATCTAGAGACTGCAGAGGGCATCTGCTGCTTCCTGGCACTCGGATGCCCTCTGCTGCTTAGAGACGCCCCCAAGTCTACTCTTCACTGTCCCTGATCAGAGAACAGGAGGATCTCTAAGGAAAGGCGTTAGTTAGGTTTCAGGTGTCCTGCCTGAGGTGGAGGCAGCATGTGCTTAAGGCACAGCGGGAGATGGTCTCCCAGTCACTTATACCTAGAAAGGCCAATGAGTTATTATTTTTTTCTTTAATCATTTATTTTGGCAGCTTTTAACTTTCCCTGTGTTAAGATCAAGGCTTCTGACTTGGAGCCTCATTTCCTGTTTTGGGCTCGGGCAGGATCTGGAAGCCTGTCTCCAGGGCTGACAACCAGCTGCGGGTCTCTCAGATGGTTAACTGGGGTGACGGCCAGCCATAGGTCTCATGGACCCTGGATGGGGAGGGTCAGGGGTTGGGGGTCAGGGGCCCCATGGCTCCTGGTTGAGGAGGGTAAGGGGTTGGGACAGGTGCTGGAAAGGTTTGCCCAAGTGAAATGGCATCCAACTGAGGCAATCTAGGAAGGCTTGCTGGGGAAGGACGAGCCTGGTACAGACCCAGATGAAAGCATGATTTGGATAGAAAAGATCTGACCTTGAACGCTTTAAAAATGTGGGTACAGAAGGCCTTCACGGCTTGTTATGGCTTTGGTGGGAAACCGGTTAGCACAGGGCAGGTTTGGGGAGGGCTGTGACCTAGCTCCATCTCTCCCTCCCCTGGCCTCCTCGCCTTTCCTCCTGACTTGCTGTTTGGTTGCTGGCTGTGGGATCATGTGGTATAGTTTGGCCCTCGTTTTGTTTTTTTCCTCCCCTTTTCTGTCCTCTTCCCCCCTGCCTGGCTTGGGGAGCCCAAGGGGGTGGGGTGGGGCAGAAAGCTCTTCTCTGGCTCTCTTAGCCCTTTCTTTTCCTGGAGAGGCTCCTGCCCCCAAATTCATTCCACTCCTTCTTCCCTGGTCCTTCAATCTCCACCTCTCAGCTAATCTGACCAGACTGGTAGATAACACATCCCGGGCTGGTGGGGGGTTGTGGGGGTGAGTACTAGAGGGGAGGCTGAGCACAGACACAAAGTCTCTGGGCTTGTGGGGAGGGGCTTCTGTGAGGTCAGTGACTTGGGGGGAGGGGGTTGGGGAGGGGCTTTGATTTTTTTCAGTTCCTGCTCTTGCTTTCTTCTTGGCCTCTGGGTCTTTCTTAACTGAGCCGTCCGTGTCTTTCGGCCCACGTGCACCTGTTTGCAGCCAAGGACAGTCCCTCCTGGAGAACTGGCCGCACCGCCCCTTGATCTCAGTGGGAGCTTTAATTTACTTTAGAGAAGTCATCTTTTCCACAGGATCTTTCCACACCCACCTGGCTGCCTTTCCTGTGATGCATTGACCTGGGTTATTTATAGAACTTGGAGGGGGCAGGAGGAGGGGGACTGTATGGGCAGCAGAAATGCCTGTGAAATCAGCCCAGTCTTTCAGTTTATGGGACCAAGGAGCATGCCCATTGACAGAGGGTGAGGGCTGCTGCCCCCACTCTAGTTTGCACCTTCCACCTCTGGCTCTGATGGCCACTCTTCGTGGCCTTTCCTGGAGCACCTTGGCATGAACTGCTAAGACAGTGAGTCTGCACATTTTCCAGTGGGGAGAGGACTGGGGTGTGCCCTCCTCAGCTCTGGATAATGGTGGCAAAGAACTCCAGGAACCAGCTGTGGTGCTCTTAAGGAGAGCAGATGGCCCTGTGTTGCCCAGACAGCACTTGACTGGGGAAAAGCAGTCTCAAGCTTAAGAGGAGGGGCCTGTGGAGTTGCAGATTCCCTTCCCAAACTTGCCACTTTGTGGCCAGTCAAGTAAACTCTTGGTGCCTCAGTATTTTCATCTGTAAAATGGGCTAATTCATACCTTGACAGGGTTGATGTAAGAGGTGAAATGAGCACCTAGTTCCTGGACATGTTTGGTGGTCAGTGAATGGCAGTGATGGTGGAGGGAGGTTTTGGTAGCCTGGTAGCTATGATCTGGGAGATGTCCCCTGTCTTAGAGGAGCCTCTCATGTGACAGGAGGAAATAATACAGAACTTAGCACCTGGGAAAGCCCCAGGACTGTGGTGGCAGGGTACTCACAGAAGTATGAGAGCTACTGATGAAATGACCTGGCCCTTCACAGCCCTCCACCATTCTCTTTGCTGCTGGAGTTTTGAGAATTGGGCTAGTCTTGGGAGCCCTTTGCAGTTCTAGAGCCACGCTCAGATCAACTTTAGATCTCTGCAGCCGTCTCTCCTGGTAGGGCAGCAGCATACTGTTAAGAACGTGAAAACTGGGATTTCTCAGTTCTATCACTTATTAGCAGGCAAGTTACTTAACCTGTTTCTTCAATTCTGAAAAGGTCACATGTGATAACAGTCATAAAATTGTACAAGTTAAATACAGTGGTGTCTCTAAAAGTCTTATTATTGTCCTAGAGACATAGCAAGCTTTCAAGATATTCGTGTTGGGTTACTCCCAGGGCCCTCCTTATGTGATGGTAATGATGATGAGGGCAAGGGTGCTAGACACCTCAACAGTCCCCGAAGCTATTTGTCCCCAAAGCTATATTGTCAGTGGGATTCTATTTGAGGTGAGGGGTTTCACTGGAGGCTTCAATCGATTGAAAAGAATATTGTCAAAACAACATTTGTTGTAATACACAAGGAAACTAACTATAATCCTTTCCCTTCAGTAAAACCATTCATGGATCACCGTGGGTCTGAAAATCCCAAGAGATGCATCTTTCTTTGGCCACTCCGAGCTGCTTGCAGGATCTTAGTTCTCCAATGAGGGATCGAACCCAGGCCCCTGCAGTGAAAAGCACCAAGTCCTAACCACTGGACTTCCAGGAAATTCCCTCTTTAGCTTCTTTAGATGTGTCCTTTCTGGTTTTTACCTCCATGCCATCCATAGTACCTCGAGTGGGTACTTGTGTGGAGAAAAAATGGTCCCTTCCTTAAAAGAACCCCCTTCCTGGGCCTGTTGGATAGAGGGTTATGGTCTGGCTCCTTGGAAAGGCCATGTTTGTGGCCTCGATTTGGGTTAGAATGTGACCATGGACAGGCTGCAGCTGTGGCCCTCTAAGTGGCTCGATCAGCCCTGGTCAGACCTGTGTCACTGATTTTATGAGGGCCTCAGGGGGGCCTGTGGCTGCGGAGGACTTAGGTTGGAGACCTGGCGGTGGTGGCCTGGGACCTGCTCGAGGAGGGTGGAGTTTTGGGCACTGGGAGAGGCACCTGAAGCCAGTGTAGCCTGCTGCTCTAAGATGGCACGGTCTCTATGAGGGCTGCCATTTGCCCCTTAGCCTCCAGATGGACTGCGCGTTCCTCTTGTAGACAGAAGGTGCGTGACCCACAGCCTCATCCCCGCTGCTTTCCAGCTGTGACTGCTCCTCAGGAAGCAGCTGAGGCCATGAGGGTCCTTGGCTCTGGCCCCTGGGGAAGTCTGCTTGGCTGCTTGGAAGGGTGTGGCTGTTCTTAAAAGCAGTAGTTAGGACGCAGGGAGGCTGCATTCCCTGAGTTATGGGGCAGTTTTTATTTGGGGTTGCTTGAGCAGCAGCATCTGGGGGTGTGGGGAGGGGTAGGAAATGACCCCCCCCCCCCAATCAGACTGGCAAGCGCAGCAGCTTCCCCTTCCCTCTGCAGCTGGCCCTGTTCTCCCCTCCCTGCTGGCAGCCGGGGACAGATGCAGCTCAGCAGAGCTCCGTGTGGGTGACCTTGAGGGCTGTCCCTTTCTCCTGATGGGGCTGCCTGCTCTTTTTATTGCTGCCACCCCGGCGCTGTGACACGCTCGCCAACAACAGCGATGCTAAAAGGCTCGTCTGGCCTCGCCCAGGTGTTTCCCCTGCCATTCCCACCCTGCGCAGGGACAGAAGATTAACACAGTGACAGGAGCTCTGCGTGTTCTCTGGGCTCTGTACCTTATGTTTTTTCCTGCGCAGGGCTGTCCTCTGCAAACTGGTGTGGTCGTGAAGAAGCCTTGCCCTTCCTCATGGCCAAGTAACAGGGTTAAGTCCAGTCCATGGAGTGGGTCCTTTCTGCACCTGGCAGTTCAAGGAGGAGTCTGATGGCTTTGTTCTGAGCTGGCCTGTGGGGCTGGGCCCAGGTCTCCGCAGTGAGCATAATAAGCTAGTTTAGCTCCCAGGAGATGGTGCTGGTGGTGGGGGGCGAGGCGGGAGTGTTGTCAGGGGCCACCTTGACCTTCAGTTGACCCCAGGGGTGGGAAACGGAAGCACTGACCTTGATTGTGGAATTCTAATGTCAGAGCTGTCTGAGTGCTTAATGTGTGGAAATGGAGGCTGGGAGGGCGAGTGGCAGGCTCTCAGCTATGTAGCAATTAGGAAGGGTGGGGCTGTGTGGTTTCTCCTAGGCCCTGGCAGCCTGAGGGCCGAAGGATTTGGGGTAAAGAAGAGATGGCCCTTGGGGCCCTGAGTGCATCCCAAGGTTTCTGTGGAAGTGCCA